TTGTCTTTAAAAAAACATTAAATCAGATTGACATTTTAATATAACAATTCGATACTCCAACCAGAACTTAAATATATACAATAATAATTTTTTATCAAAAATTACCTAATTTATATTTTTTTGGTTTAATTCGAATAGAAATGCTAACCATATTACACTAACATTATAATCTTGTCCATTTATAATATATCATTTTTTAATCGAAAATTTTAATATATGTATGTATATATATATATATATATATATATATATGAAGAAATTATAGTTTAAGATTTTTTATAAAAATGGATAAGAAATAAAAAAAAATATCATATACAACAACAACCAAAAAAAAATTTGCAAACTTTTTTTGGAGAAAAAATAGCTTTCATAATTTCCCAGACCAAAATAAATTATTAAATAAAAGATCCGAAACTCATCTCAAAATGCAGACATGAAAACAAATTTTTACTACGTTATTTTTTAAAAAAAAAAAAAAAAAAAAAAAAAAATAAAATAATAAATAAATAAACAAAATGACAATAAAATAATATAAAATAAAAATTAATAAAACAAATTAACAAATCACACCTGTTATTTATATAACGGAATATAAATAAAAAAAAAAAAAAATCAATGAAACCCAAACAAATAAAGTAAATAATAAACAAATTAACAAACCATTATGACCAAAATATTAGTTAGACTATAAAAAATCAAACCAAAAATCGGAAAAAAAAAAATAGCTTATTTTGTTATATAACGATAAAAAAAAAAATTAGGTTACTTAAAAAAAAAAAAAAAAAGTATAAATAAAAAATATAAAGTATAACAAATAAATAAAAAAAAAACATTTTAAAATAAATTAATCTAAAAATCCAAATAAATAAATAAACTAACAAAATGAGATCGATTTTTTAACCGTTAAAAAAAATAAATAAAGATAATCAATCCAAATAAATACATGAAGTAATAAACAATTTAATAACTTCTTTACAAAAAATAAATTAAATAAACTACAAAAATCAACCCCAAAATTGAATAAATAGCTTTAATTATTTTTTCAATAAAAAACAAAACTATTAAATAAGCGATATAAACTAATTTTACTACGTTAATAAAAAAAACCGATTAAAATAAAAAAAAAAAAAATAAAGATATAAGATAAGAAATAAAAAAAAAAATAAAAAAAAAATAAATAAAAACAAAGCAAAATAAACTAACCATAAATAAATAAAAAATAAACGATTCCGGTAAAATAACCGCCAAAATAGACTAGGATAAACAATGCACCATCAAATATATATAAATAGCCTGATAAAAATAAAAGCTCCCGTAATAAAGACGATTGCATCTAAATGAAAACAGACTGTAGAATTTAAGTTTTTGACTTCTATGACCCAATTATTTATGCATACATGAGAAACTATATATTACTAAGTTTATAAAAAATAAAAAATTTACTGAATCAGAGAAATGAAATAGCTATTTTATACCGTCATTGTCAAAAATTTTCCTTAAATAATATTTAAAAATAAAAAAAAAAATTTAAAAAAGGTATGATCAGGTTATATACATACTTATATTTAACATGAAAAAAAATAATTTTATTTACTGTAAGTAATTCTATTAAAATTTACTTGTTTTTCTTTAAAAAAAAAAGTCTATTAAAATAACAGTGAAAATATTTTAAAGTTTAAAAAAAAAACGAATTCTAACCTAAAACATTTTTAAAATTGTAGTTAAATAAAATGTATTCTAACCTAAACACCTCTCAAAAAGTACTACCGGCACTTAAATGGAATCCAATAAAATTTTACTGAAAAAATGAAATTATAACGAAAAGCTAGATGATGTAGGCCATTGAATGACCCATGTCATTTGTACATACATATGAAACTTTATTACTAAGTTTATATATATTTTTTTTAAAAATCAATAAATAAAGTTTACTAAATCTGAGAAATGAATTAGCTATTTTTGCAGTAAATGGCATAAATATTACTTAAATAATATTTAAATAAAAGTTTAAAAATCGTAATATACATAAACTTGATATGGAAAAATAATGGAAAAACTTACTATAAGTAATTCAAATACATTTCCTTCTATTATAAAGTAATATAGTCTATTAAATAAAAATGAAAATATTTTGAAAAATATTTTAATTTTAAATAAAATTAATTCTAACCTAGTTAAATAAAATGAATTCTAACCTAAATTTTTTTACCTTTGTACTACACGCACTAAAAAAAGAATCCAATAAAACACCTATAGTAAAATAAAATTAATATGAAATGCCAGAAGATGTATATTTTGAATGACCCATGTCCTTTGTACTTACATGAGAAACAATATATTACTAGGTTTTTATAAAAAAAATAAAAGTTTACTAAATCAGTGAAATTAAGTAACTATTTTTGTCGTCATTGTCATAAATTTTACTTAAATAATATTTAAATAAAAAAAAAATTGTAAACTAAATATACATACTTATACTTGATATAAAAATAATTCTACATACTATAAGGGATTCTAATACATTTAATTGTTCTTAAAAAAATATAGTATAATAAAATTAAAAATGAAAATATTTCAAATCGTAGTTAAATGTATTCTAATCTAAACACCTGAAAAAAATCTTTTTAAATTTACAAATAGAAAAAAATGCCGTAAGAACTTTTTTGCCATTAACAATAAATTAAAAAAAAAAAAAACAGACGACATGCATTCAACGGATGTCATTTTCATTGAAAAATACATCCCTACCACTTACCAAAACGTAGCTAATAACGGATACAATAATACAGACATAATGATCACCCAGACACCCCTTGTCCAGTTGAAGTAGATTTATCTGTAACCTTGGAAACGTGAATTATGATTTTAGCTGTGTCTTTAAAACCCAATAATTTTAAAAGTTACTCCAAAATTCGCTTGAGGATGAAATGGAACTAATGTCTTTAATTTAATTACAAAATTAAATTCGTAGCGTTTAGCTTCCATTTTTGAAACATGGTTAGAACTGTGTAGCGAAAAAAACCATATTTTAAATAAATCAATTTATAATATTATATATCTATAAATTTATATATACTATTTTATAAAAATAAAATATCTATATGAACACCGGATTATATATCTTACTGTTCTTTTCTTTTGTATATATATATATATATATATATATATATATATATATATATTAAAAGAAGAGAGAAACCGAAAACCTTTGGGGTTGCAATGTGGATTTTTTAAATATATGTTATGCTTTATTTTCCATTATTTTGCAACATGCGTTTCGGGTTTCGCGACCTTCTCCAGGCAAAGAGTGGATATATCCACATATTAAATTAAATTAATTTTCCTTGAACTGTTCAAGAATGACATTTCATTTTAGCTTTGATTGAAAGCTAAACAATTAAATTTATTATTTCCAGTAAGTAAAATAGTCTTGTGTATTTCTGATAGGATTTATATAGATTGAAATGTCAAACTTAATTCTGATTTTTATTTTTTTTTTAAAAGCGGCCATTTTATTAATTTTAAGAAATTTGTAAACAAAGCACGTCAAAGATATATATATATATATATATATATATATATATATATATATATATATTTCTGGCACGTTATCTGAATAAAATTAGAAAATCTGATTTGAAAGAAATATTACTTGCTTATAGCATAAATAAGTAATAATTGTTATTGATCGGCTGTTGTTATCTGAAGCGATGATTAAATGGCGATTGACTGACGAAGCAATGACAGCTAGGATGGCTGGCTAGAATTGACATAAAATTTACGAAATCTAAGTGAACGCATTTTTGAGGGGCTTTTAACTACTTGGTTATTTTTTACAAATTAACATATTTTCCGAAATTATTTAATTATTTATTGACTTTTATTTGCCTTTCGAAGATGCTTTACGCAAAAATAAAAAAAAATGAAATATTATAAAATTTTCTTAAATTATTTTCTCTGTAAAAATCATATATCACGTGCCTTTTTCGTAATAATGTTATGTTTAGCCATTGAGAGATGAAAAAAGGGAAAAATTTAAGTACAAAATTATTTTAAAAATAGAATATCGTAGCTGCTATTAATAATCTTTTTAATTTTGGATTCATAAATTTCGTTTCCACGTAATTACTATATCACATCCAAAAAATAGACCAATACAGAATTTTACACGATTTTAAACTATTGTAAATTATAACAGTTAAAAACTTTTAAAAAATTCTTGTAAAAATTCATTATTCATCGGAAAAAATATATTTCTTCAATCAATAGTGTACTTACTATACCTTATTTACAAAAGCAATTAAAAGGTTTTCTAGTTAAATAATGTCGTAGTTTATTGCATTCATTATTTTTCAGTTCAGAATAGATTTTCAGTTAGAATAGTGCAAATTTGAAATAAAATAGGCAAGGAGTCCTACTTTTAAGGAAAAAAATATTAAGGAAACAGTAAGATTCTGTTATTTTGGGGGGTGTTGTTTGTTTTTTTTGTGCGAAATTTCATGAAATTAAGTAAGTCAGGGTAGCAAATGTGAAAAAAACCAAAATTTTCTAAAAAATATATTTCTCAATTACAATGTGTTTTCAATGTAATTATTTTGCCAGCGAAATGACGTCAATAAAGCAAGATTTTAATCAAACATTCGAACGTGTTGGATAGGAGTCACAATTTTTTTTTAAATAATCAAAAAAGACTTTAGTCTTTCATCTTAATAATAACATGACCATGACGAGAACATTTTTTCATTACGCTCTGTTTGACGATTTACTCTGAAACGTATAATAGAAAATGCAATATCCAGAAAAACTGCAAATATTTTTACACTTGTTTCCCTCAGTCGTCAATCGTTTAAAAGCGTTCACATATTAGAAAGCCAGTCATATCTACTTAATAGAATCACATGACACACAAAGTCTTTTAAGACGTAACAGAAGTCCATATATTTGTACACGAATCAGAGGGGTCGTGTGACATAGAAAGAAACAAAAAAGCAACGTGAATTATGGATAACAGCAGTAAGATAAGATTTTTTATCTTTCGATTTTAACTTTGAAAACATTTCTCTACTTCTTTTTTTTTCTTTTTTCTCTTCTTTTTATATAGTTGTGCCTTTAACTTAAATTACGGCAACACTTTACAGATATCCATTCTATATATCGATTATCACGGAAGAGGCCTTCCCTAGAAAATCAAAACTAATCAGTAATTTTTTTATCGATTTTTCAACCGAAGATATTTGTATAATTTTGGAGATTTTTTTTTCTATCACTTACTGTTTATTTATATTATTTCTAAGGACAACTCATCGGAGAATTTAACTCATCAAATTGTTTTGGGTCAGACAGGATCCTCATTTACAGAAAATTTACTCTGAAACTTATAACAGAAAATGCAATAAAATGTAAGATATTATTTAATTGGAAAATAATTTAATTGATGTTATGAATAAAATAAATTATAAAACCATTTTTGAAATCTCTTAAAATTCTGTATTAATTTGTAGCAGATCAAGCGACATTATTATTAAATTAAAACTATATTTACTAATTATAAATTGAAAATCTTACTACAATTCAACAAAAAACCCAGTATTATAAATATAATTTTAATTTTTCATGTTTGTATAAAACTTTCAATTTTGTAAGATCAAAAACATTAGCTGGTATCCATAGTAAATTTAAAATTCGTTGACTATTTTCTAATATTTTCTCAAAAAAATTCACAAAATGTTTCGAAAATTAAGGGTAAGGCTGTAAAGCCTAAGTACATTATATGCAATAATATTCTATTTAACTTTATTTGTAATAGTTTCAAGATTACAGGATAGATACAAAAGATTTTATAACAAATGTGTTCTCGTTGTATTCTTATATGTAATATTATTTCCGTTATAAATATTTTATTTAAATTTACCAAACCCAGGCTGTCGATATATCATTTAACGTGACAAAAATATTCCCCATCATATTTTAAAACAGTTAATTTTTTATGGGATCTTTAAACTTAAATATAAGTAATATTTGTTTCAATTCAGATTAAACATTAAATTAGCTAATGTTTCCCAAATGATGTTCATTTTGAAAGGATTCGGAATTCGTTATAGTTTACCCAGATCAATATACATCTGAGGAATACTGGAGTGTAGAACTGAAACGTGATAAAAACAACAAAGATTATGGTAATCGCCCGAATATACATAATGTAAATAAAGATAATTATGTTGTGTTGACAGATTTGTCAATGGACGAATACATTAGATTTTACTGATAATCAGAAGAAAATGATTCCAGTCAAGTTAAATTTAATTTGAAATACACTAACGTAGGGAAATAATAATAATAATTCTTAATACTAATATTAAATTTAGTCTATTAACTTGGAAGTAAAACTAAAATAAAATCTTCAAGAAAGCTTTTTCATATATTTTAAACGCATTTTAAATACTAAATATCGATTTTTCTTTTTTAATATATATATTTTAGGTATCTATATTTAGTGATTCCTAAAGCGTTACCCAATCTATTCGGTGATAGAAAACAAAGAATAATAGGTTTTTATACCACTTTGAATTAGAGACTTAGTCTATTCCCAAAATTTCTTTGTTATATAAATGGCGCGGCTATTCGTCACCGCTAGATTGTATTTAAACAATATCGCTAAATAATCTATCCCTTTTAATCCACAAGATTCCGTATCCCGTTTAACTTATCGATATTTTTCAATAATTTCCTTTATGTAAGAACTCTTCTGTGCTTTCCACACACATAAACGTGGTTATACTTTTCATTAAAAAGGTGGAAATCAGAAATCGGGAGTGTTTCAGCTTGAAATCACGCTTCAAATTAGTAGGATTTTTCATCTTTATTATGACTGCACGTCTACAAACAAATTCACCAGTTCCGTCGCATTTTTGTATGTTCAACAACTGCAAAGCAAAAATATTGAAATTATGACGAGTGAAATTTAGTTACAGTTCAAGAACATTCCACATCAGCGTAACACAGAATTTTAAATTCTTATAAAGTTTGCCAGCCAAGGATAGAATTTAGTGTTTCGACAAGAAAGAATGCAACGATCTCAACTGGATTTCGAACTGAGTTCACCCATTTGACGTTACCGTTACTTAACACGAAACTTTCCAGCACACTTTGTGAAACATACTTGCATATTATGTATAGTATCTGGTGTTTGTTAGCGCTACGCCATTTAAGCATTATGAAAATGAAACAGAATCGTCTGGGCACTGTAGCTTGTTTCAACGCTACAAATTACTACAAATATAAAACATTAAACTAAAACCCGAGTCATGCACTTACTTAGCCTCGTGAATGTCAGGTAGAGCGCAAAAAGACTTTTAGAAATATCTAATCTATCAGCTTTATACAATAGATACATATATAAATGCATACATACAGTTGTGAGAGAGAATATTTCTATACAATTTTAGAATCAGCCGTCCTATAGCAAGTGGAGTAGCAGAAAGAGCAGTAACAGCAGGTAGATTTTGCTGATATTAGTTAATCATTCACAGCATTTATTCTCTTCCCTAGTCTTTTTATTATATATTATGTTTCCCTATACGAAAAGTTAATGAACTTGTTTTTACATCATTTGCTGTTTTATACTGTCATTTTTGATGAGTCAGTTACAACAGTTTGTCGACGAAGATGAGACAGGAATTCAACAGTTCATACAAGTATATAGTTTCACACGTAATCTTAACTCTATCAAATTTGATGTTTACGAGAAAAGTAAAACCGGTTTTTGATAGACTGCTGCCCGAGAAAAAATGGACACAAAAAGAAGACCGCTATTGTTAAATATTTTAATCCAGGCGAGAAAATGTTCTTTAAAATATATAAAAAGAATAAAGAAAACTGGGAAGGTGCTTTAACGTGTCGAAAGATTATTATATATGATGAATGGTCCTAGTTGATACATAAACGTCACCTAAAACAACTGAAGAAAAGTTATTCTGACATAAATATACAAGATTGGAATAACCAGTGCAGATATTACACAATGTATCTGACGTACCTATAACAGAAACAATTTATACTAAATGGACTAGTAAAAAGAAAAGAAGTTCAACAGAAATCCTGGACATGGATTGCAAAAGACAGAGTTATGGTCCCCAAATGGGAAATGTTGTGATGGAGAATATTTCCCTACAATTTTGAACTTGGCCGTCGATCGAAAGCCATACAAATAATCCTACAGCAGGTGGAGCAATAGCAGCAGTGGCTTTTTCTGAAAACTGTCATTAACGGCTAAAAATGTTCTTCCCTGGTTTCTTTTTTTCGTATTTTTTCTTGATTAATTATTAATTGAAATGAATTTAGCTCTCAATGTTCTTTTGAAAAGTTAGGATAAATACTTTTAATGTTTTTCTTGTTGACTCATCCAAAATGAACGATATGATCGTTGGCTAATGGATGAGACGTACATATTCCTGCTTTACTTTTTTCAAAGTAGCCATGCGGTTCACACGAATATCGTGCCAGATTCCATTGTATTTTTTCTTCGAATTAATTCAAATTCACCTTCTATTTGACATTGTTCGTACCACGTTATGAAATTTTTTTTTGTATTCATTTTTTATTAATTTTTTAATTTAAGTGAATTTCGTCCTCACTGTTATTTTGAAAAGTTTGAATAAATTTTTTGAGTTTTTTTTTTCTTGTTAACTCTTGCAGAAGTGAACGATATGAGTTCCCGGTCTCTCGGGTGAGGCTCTCTTTGCACTCAAGAAGAGCATCTTGGGTCTTTAACTGAGTTAAAACTTTACATTTCAGTCTCAAAACCAAATTAAAATTTTATATTTCAGTTGCAACACTGAGTGGCTTGCACATTGTTCTTGGACTTCCTGTAAGCTGCTTGTGTGTGTGTGTGTTAGTGTGCATGTAATAGGAGTAAATAGTCATTTCTATCGTCTGGTCAACACTCCTTCCCCTTCTCTTGAACAAGCACAGAGGTTCACCCCATGTTTCTTGTTTAGGAAGGGTTTAACGGTACTTTTCCTTCTCTGGCCTCCGTAGAAGTACTATCGTGATTCTCTTGTGATATAGCTATAACTGTTATATAACGATAAAAAAAATAAAATTAAAATAAAATAAAATAAAAATAAAAAATAAATAAATAAATACTACGTTACTTAAAAATCGAAAACCGAAAAGAGAAAATTTGTTGTTGTGTATGAATGAGTGAGTCCTTTGTGAATGCTTGATGGATTGAATGTGTTCTTATTTTCATAGTCCCGCATCGTTTTCGTCCGGTTAACTGATATTTCTGCCACATTCAAAGTGGGGGGGGGGTTAATACTAACACAAATTTTGTTTAGTTTCTTGTAAATATATTTCGTCATATTGTATATACTCATTTGGGATTTTTTTAAATTGTTGTTTTTAATCCCCCCTCACCCACAGACAATATTTGTACATAAGGGGATTATTTAGGATTTTTCATTGAGTCAAAGAGACATTTTGGTGGATGTAGTCAGAAAGGTATGGATAAATGTGTTGTTTTGGTGATAGGAATATTGTTTAGTATGATAGGGTGAGTGGTTGTGGCTAGCAAGTTTTATTTTAAGACAAGTGATGACCGTCCTTTTCTCCAGCCCCCTTTTCGGCGTTGTGCCACATTTGTTGTATTTTTACGACAATAAATATAGGAATCAAGAGATTCAGGCCTTCAGCATTCCAATTCTGTTTAGTAAAAGTTTTATTTGTGGCACCATGCATCCTGACGATTTGAAAGAAATATTATAGATATATGATTTGTTTTTTTTTTACGGTTTATCAACCATTTGATAATTATTTGAGGCCAAAAAATATTTTAGGTTTTAAGAATAATTCTTTCTTTGCATTCAAGCGATTTGGGAGGAAGAAAGAGAAAACAAAGAAGAAAGAAAGAAAAAGTAATACCAGACGGGTCATAGGCGAACACACACACACACGGCTTAAGAGACGGAAATGAGGAGGAAAAAGGTTATAGTTGATAGGTATCAGATGTCGAA